TAGATGGCCCGGGTTTCACAACGCTACATTATAAGGACCCCATGGTTCTTATTTCTAAGCCGAGTTGATAACACGAAACGGTCCGAGCTTTCACCACAATCATGATTCTCACTTATAAGTTGAGCTGACACAAACACTGACCAATCTATTAATCGATTGACCGAGAGTCGCCTATTTTCAAACCGTCTCTTCTTTTCAACGAAGAAACATTAACAAATATGATAAGAAACATAACAAATATGATAAGCAACCTTAGTTCCTTTAGCCACAGCCAGTGTTTCTTTGGTATAAGAAAGTTTGTATAATATTACCTTTTGTAATGTTGTCGGACCATTAATAATAATTGCTGTAGGTGGAGCTTCGGGTGAATTTAGACAACGCAATGATCTAAACCCGGATATAATATTATATAGTCCATTGAAGATACATTAATAAATAACAACACATCTCAACATAAATACCAGCAAGATTACATTCCAAGAGTCCTAGCAGTGAAAAGTAAATTACCTTAGAAGTTCGCATATGAATGACTGCCGTTCCAACAATAGTGAAAAATAGATTATCACAGAATCCCACCGTAACCAATAAGGATGCGCAAATTGATTACAAAAATGCTCCTTAAAAGGGCGATAGTCACCGATCACGTGTATGTATGATTCATCCAAAATTGGAGATGCACTAAAGCATGATGAACAAATCCAATTAGTTTAAATTTTTATAAGATCAGGATAAGAATAAGGATTAGGATTAGAGAACAAGATTATACATGAATATAAATTATCTTTCTATATAGCATTTTTTAATTAGTATTTCAAGATAAATTTAAATATTAGTTTTTTTGTAATATTTATATTTCTTATATTTTTTATATTTTATATTAGATTTGTTTTGCTGAATTGATCAAAAATTTGTGTATTCTTATTGGTAATTACATTAAATATTGTGATATTGTTAAATTTTTGAAGGATTATTATTTTTAAATAAGTTATTATATAATACTAAAAAGAATTATTATTTAAATAAATTATTATTACAATTATATTATAAAATTCGTTAATTTTATAATTTGTAATATTTCACGAAATTATAAAGATTATGTAAAGAACTTAGAACATTTCACAATTTTTCTACCTTGTACTCTTGTACTTTTTATACTTTTTCTATTTTGTATTCTTATATTTTTTATATTTTTTATACTTTTATATATTTATACTTTTTATACTTTTTCTATTCTGTATTCTTATACTTTTTATACTTTTTATACTTTATATATTTATACTTTATACTTTTTATATTTTTATACTTATTTATTCTGAATAGATATAATTTAACCAATCAAAATTCTTTGAGATTTATACTTTTTCTTCTTTATTTCTCTATTTTCCATATTTAGTAAATTGAAATTCTATTTTTAGTTAGTATAATTATCTTTTATATCTTTTTCTTGTTTTTAATATTATA